CAAATTTCAAGAAATTATTTCCTTTTGCTGAACATGGGCGGTGGTGTAGTCTTGTGGTAAAACCGTCCTCCCGTTACACTGAAGATCCGGGTTCGATTTCCTACATGGGTAGAATTTGTGAAGATATTTCTGGTGTCCCCGGGGCGGTGGGGTAGCCTAGTGGTTAAAGCGTCCGCTCGTCACGCTGAAGACCCGGGTTCGAATCCCCACATGGGTACAATGTGTGAAGCCAATTTCAGGTGTCCCCCCGCCGTGATGTTGCTGGAATATTGCTCAAAGCGGGGTAAAACTAAACTCAGTCAGTCAGTCAGTCTGGTGTCCCCCGTCGTGATTTTGCTGGAATATTGCTAAAAGCGGCGTAAAGCTAAACCCACTAACCTTTGCTGAACATCATTAAGTTAATGATTAAGTAGAGATTATCACCCTCCCTTTTCCATATCTTCCCCATATCATCCCGAGACACCCATATCTGACTGAGGCAGGATATGGAAAAGGGAGGGTGATAATATTTTTATCACTTAATACTAACCTAACAAGAATGGTGTATAGGTGGGTGGTGGTGTATAGGTGGACGGTGCTGGTGTATACGTGGACGGTGCTGGTGTATAGGTGGACGGTGCTGGTGTATAGGTGGGTGGTGGTGGTGGTGTATAGGTGGGTGGTGCTGGTGTATAGGTGGGCGGTGGTGCTGTATAGGTTGACGGTGCGGGTGTATAGATGGGGGGTGGTGGTGTATAGGTGGGTTGTGGTGGTGTATAGGTGGGTGCAGGTGGTGTATAGGTGGGTGGTGGTGGTGTATAGGTGAGTGGTGGTGTATAGATGGGTGGTGGTGTATAGGTGGGTGGTGGTGTATAGTTGGGTGGTGCTGGTGGTGTATATGTGGGTGTTTCTGGTGTATAGGTGAGTGGTGGTGGTGTGTAGGTGGTGGTGGTGATGGTGGTGTATAGGTTGTTGGTGTTGGTGTATAGGTGGGTGGTGGTGTATAGGTGGGTGGGCGTATGGATGGGTGGTGCTGGTGTATAGGTGGGATGTTCTGGGATATGGTTGGGTGGTGCTGGTGTGTGTGTGGGTGGTTGTGGTGTATAGGTGGGTGGTGCTGGGGTATTGTTGGGTGGTGCTGGTGTGTGGGTGGGTGGTCGTTGTGTATAGGTGGGTGGTGGTGGTGTATAGGTTGGTGGTGCTGGCGGGCGTGTATGTGGGTGATGGTGGTGTATGGTTTGGTGATGCTGGTGTGTAGATGGGTGGTGCTGGTGTATGGGTGTATGTAGAGATAGGAAAGTGGAGGTGCAGAGATAGGAAAGTGCATGTGCAGAGATAGGAAAGTGCAGTGGTATATTTGGGAAAGTGCAGATGTAGACACGAGGAGTTGTAATTGTATGTATGGGAAAGTGCAGGTGTATAGATAGGAAAGTGCAGGTGTATAGATAGGAAAGTGCAGGTGTATAGATAGGAAAGTGCAGGTGTATAGATAGGAAAGTGCAGGTGTATAGATAGGAAAGTGCAGGTGTATAGATAGGAAAGTGCAGGTGTATAGATAGGAAAGTGCAGGTGTATAGATAGGAAAGTGCAGGTGTAGATAGGAAAGTGCCGGTGTATAGATAGGAAAGTGCAGGTGTATAGATAGGAAAGTGCAGGTGTATAGATAGGAAAGTGCAGGTTTGACAATGGGAAAGTGAAGGTGTAGAGACTGGGAAGTGTAGGTGTAGAGATGGAGAGATTCAGACATAGAGATGGGAAAGGACAGATGTGGAGATGTAGTGCACATGTAGAATGTGAAATGCCGAGAAGTTCACTGACTGGAAAGGACGTGTGTACGCTCAACTGAACAGCCCCCCTAACATCACATAGTTACACTGGAGCGCCTTGTTTCCCCTAGACCGACAAGGATGAAACAGAAACAAGCCGTTTGTACACATAATTTGCGTAATTCCAAAACTCAATAATTGTGGTTTCGGCCATTGTGTTTATACAGCAGTGGCAAAAGGGTTCCGTGTGTGAGACAATCAGTGCAAACGGGACGCACAGATCAGACCTGGGGCTAAGCTTCGGGTGGCTTTAAGGGTGGGAAAACGTGACGACACCCGCACGTGTCGCACATGACGTGAAAGCTAAGACACAGGGCTTTCGATCCATAGTAACAACAAAAACCTGTGGTCGATGTACGAAACATGACAGGTACCGGCAGCGTGAAATACTGCCGTAGATCGGGTCAAATTGGGCTTAAAAGCGCCCCGGCATCGAACCTGTTAAAGACAGGTCATTTCTGATGATACCACCAGTTGGCCCTGGGAACCAGCTTCACGTCGATGTGCATGTCAATGGGTTGTGTATATTCAACGTCCCACAGACAACGTCTTAACCATATTCAACGTTCCACAGACAACGTCTTAACCATAAACTTATCAGTCCAATGGTTTTTGCCTTTACATCGGCTCTCCTCACTTTAATCTGATCCGTGAATGGCTATTCTCTTTATACGTTATATTATCCCTAGGCTCTATGTTCCGTCTGTAAAGGAAGGATATGGATTTGTGACTAAATTGAAATCAGTCAATATTGACCTGAGTGTTGTTCTTGAGTATCACATTACAAGTTATCACATCGTGTCTCGGGAAATACGGGGTTTTATCAGTCCCAAGTAAGGTTGTATTCCCCGAGCCTCCGACTCCTAACCTTACGAGGGACTGAAAAAACCCCGTATTTCCCGAGACACGATGCGATAACGCATTTATTTAGCCGAATGTTTTTACTAAATCAAAAGAAAACAATACGCATCGAACCGACTTGTTTTTATTTATGTGAGATGTGGCAAAACGTTTCCTTGCTGCCATGTTGACACCAGCTGATCGATTGACCTCAATGCAGCGCACGTTACTAAAGGCTTGGCGATGCACGCTTTTCTCACTTCGCGTGGTCACCGAGGCGTGGCGGGATAATATGACTTTTGCACTCCCTGCTCGCGGATCGTGACGGGTGTACATGGTATTTTATCACAGTCACGTGAACAAATCAAAACTCAACATTCTGACATGAGGCTGGATAAGGACATCTGACTTGCCCTTAAACAACTTATGTTAGTACATTCATCAAGCTGAGTGTTCGAGTGTGACCGTGAGCACGGGCGTGAGTGCATGAGTCCGTGAGCGCTTGAATGAGATCGTGAGTACGTGTGTGAGTGCGTGAGTGAGTCTGTCAGTGTTTGAGTGAGATCGAGAGTCCATCTTATGATATGACTCATCTAAAACTATTTGTTGGTAATTATAACATAGCCATTCAATCCACACTTAACAACTAAAGTCGAAGACCTCTTTCACTTGAGGGGGCGGTGGGGTAGCCTAGTGGTTAAAGCGTTGGCTCGTCACGCCGAACACCCGGGTTCGATTCCCACATGGGTACAATGTGTGAAGCAAATTCCTGGTGTCCCCCGCCGTGATATTGCTGGAATATTGCTAAAAGCGGCGTAAAACTAAACTCACTCAATTATTGATCAGGAGTACGTCACACCACAAAATACACATGTAACATATGCCGTGGCGCATGATGAAACAAAAATTATTCAATATACATTTAATGGCATAGACATCGATCCGTCTTCATCTGAGTAACACCTGCCTGTCCTTCATATTACAGAAAACGATAGTTTGGCGTAACATCGAAGTGCCACTCAACCGCTTACTGTTAAGATTTGTTGAACAATCTTACCAGCGACACCAAACGGATCCGTTGTGTTCACGACTAGATTGTCAACGCACCCTCTCTCTCTCGGATTTGGAGGATAAAATTATATGGACAGTATTTCCCCGATTAGGTTTCTTGTGGTGAAAATGTTGTTTTCGCCGGGAGTGTTTCGATGACATTATTCGGATATTCCGAGATGTTCCGAGTGCTATAAATGTTATATTCAAGGGGACTGTGCCCATGCCCTATTCCCAGATGTTCGACAATATGTGCCCATCAATATTTGGCTATTCCCAGATGTTCGAGTGCTATAAATGTTATATTCAAGAGTGCCCATGACAATAATTCCCAGATGTTCGGATATATAAATGCTATATTCTGTGCCCATGACAATATTCGGCTATTCCCAGGCTATTCCCAGATGTTCCGAGTGCTATAAATGTTATATTCAAGGGGACTGTGCCCATGACAATATTCGGCTATTCCCAGATGTTCGGAGTGTTATAAATGCTATATTCAAGGGGACTGTGCCCATGACAATATTCGGCTATTCCCAGATGTTCGGAGTGTTATAAATGCTATATTCAAGGGACTGTGCCCATGACAATATTCGGCTATTCCCAGATGTTCGGAGTGTTATAAATGTTATATTCAAGAGGACTGTGCCCATGACAATATTCGGCTATTCCCAGATGTTCCGAGTGCTATAAATGCTATATTCAAAGGACTGGACTATTCGTATTCCCAGCCCAAGAGGACTGACCCATGATATTCGGCTATTCCCGGATGTTCGATATTCAAGTGTTATAAATGGACTGTGCCCACGACAATATTCGGCTATTCCCAGATGTTCGGAGTGTTATAAATGTTATATTCAAGAGGACTGTGCCCATGACAATATTCGGCTATTCCCAATGTTCTTTGGGCGAGTATTTTAGAGTCAGATCTCAGAGCATAGTTTCTTGTGCTATGACATTGTTATATTCAAGATGTTCCGACTGTGCCCATTTCAGATGTTCCATATTTCGGCTATTCCCAGATGTTCGGAGTGTTATAAATGCTATATTCAAGAGGACTGTGCCCACGACAATATTCGGCTATTCCCAATGTTCGGAGTGTTATAAATGTTATATTCAAGGGGACTGTGCCCATGACAATATTCGGCTATTCCCAGATGTTCCGAGTGTTATAAATGCTATATTCAAGAGGACTGTTTTCCATGACATTATTCGGCTATTCCAGATGTTCCGAGTTTTATAACTGCTGTATTCAAGAGGACTGTTTTCAAGAGGACTGTTTTCTATGACATTATTCGGCTATTCCCAGATGTTCCGAGTGCTATAAATGCTATATTCAAGAGGACGGTTTTCCATGACATTATTCGGCTATTCCCAGATGTTCCGAGTGCTATAAATGCTATATTCAAGAGGACTGTTTTCCATGACATTATTCGGCTATTCCAGATGTTCCGAGTGTTATAAATGCTATATTCAAGAGGACTGTTTTCCATGACATTATTCGGCTATTCCCAGATGTTCCGAGTGCTATAAATGCTATATTCAAGAGGACTGTTTTCCATGACATTATTCGGCTATTCCCAGATGTTCCAAGTGTTATAAATGCTATATTCAAGAGGACTGTTTTCCATGACATTATTCGGCTATTCCAGATGTTCCGAGTTTTATAACTGCTGTATTCAAGAGGACTGTGCCCATGACAATATTCGGCTATATTTGGGCGAGTATTTTAGGGTCAGGTCTAAAAGCGTAGTTCTCAACACAAGACATGAAACATGTGTTCAAATGTTGTTTAGCAAAATGAAGTTGAAATCACTTTTACCATACATCATCTTCTTCTCTGTTGCCATCCATATCATAATTTTATCTTTCTTCAGTTTGTACAAGAGCTGGACCATAGGACAAAAAAACCCATCAAAGCTTGAATCCATTTACTCGAAAACGTGGGACTTTCATTTTATACCACATGCTGCCAACACAAGCCGGTCAAAACATCGATCGGTAACAACAAATTACCCCACGCATTTCATCGGTCGATACTCCCTTAACAATCCACGTATATGCTTGCACAATAACGTCGACCTTGTGTTTATCGTTAGCAGTGCGTGCGACAATTTCCATCGCCGTGAAATCATAAGATCAACATTCGCTAATCAAACATTCTTCAAGAACTACACAATAAAACTGGCATTCTTTGTGGGATCGACGACTTCCGGTGCCACGCAGCAAATGTTAATCACTGAACACCGGAACTATGGTGACGTCATACAAGGTCACTTCCTGGACACTTATCACAATCTTACTCTCAAAGTGAGCACGGAACTGCAATGGCTTGTGACCTACTGTAAAAATGCAAATGTCGTGGCCAAGATTGACGACGATACCTTCGTCAACACATATGCATTTTTGGAGAAATATTATCAAATTGCTTCAAGTAGAAACACGATTTATTGCGATATGAACCGTCACCTGACACCCATCCGTCGACAGGGAAGATGGCGTGTTACCAGCCATGTTCTAAGTCGATACAGATTCTATCCTTGGAAATATTGCCTTGGTTACGGGGTATTTATAAGTGGCAAGCTGATATCAAGGATGTTTAAGGCAACGCTGGTGTCTCCATTCCTCTGGGTGGACGATGTGTATTTTACAGGACCTCTCACTTCACAACTGACATTCAAATTTGTCAAAGTTGAGAGCAGCTATTTTAAGAAGGATTTACAGTGTTTTCTTGCACGGAACTGCTCTTTATTATTTGCAGTGGGCAATGTTTCAGAGTTTCCCGATTTATGGAAACGTACCACTTCACACTATGAGATTTATGTATGATATACTTTGCACAGTTGCGTAATCTAGATTTGTGTATGGAGTTTTCTTTTTATCATGTATTGTCACATGTTGTCATGTATTGTCACATGCATTGTCATATATTGTCACATGTGGTCATGTATTGTCACATGCATTGTCACATGTATTGTCACATGTTGTCATGTATTGTCACATGTATTGTCACATATTGTCATGTATTGTCACATGTGGTCATGTATTGTCACATGTCAAGTGTTGTCACATATTGTCATGTGTTGTCACATGTTGCCATGCATTGTCACATATTGTCATGCATTATAACATGTCATGTATTGTCACATGTTGTCATGCATTGTCACATATTGTCATGCATTGTCACATATTGTCATGCATTGTCACATGTTGTCATGCATTGTCGCATGTTGTCATGTATTGTCACATATTGTCTAAAGTTAACGTCTTACCAATGTCACATAGTGTTCAAATCATATTAATCTTACCAAAGATTTACCAATATCAGATCTGACTATGTAACTGTCATACATGCCTGATGAATGTTAAAATCGTAGCCTTTTGGATAATAAAACAGGGTTTTTTGGTCTTTTTAACATTGTTTCAATTATAACGGGAATCCTAGGACAACGTCTCCCTCATTTGAGCCCAAGCCAATGCTGTGTCCATCTCAAAAGGTAATCACTGGTGTGTTGTATAATGAACGGAGATAATGGACTGAGAGGAAACAACTTAATTGCCCGTCAAATCTACAACACATTGCCAATGAAAAGGGGACCTATCAGATCGGAGTTCGTACTGACGATGTGCCTTGGTTTGTCAAGATCTGGCTACCCTCCTTCACACAGTCAGCCAGCGCATTTATCATCCAAAACTGTGTTCCACAGGAGATATCGCTTGCGTGAGATCAGACGATATCTCCTAGGAGATATCGTTTTGACAGTAGATTTTGCACAATGCCCTGACAATGCTATGACGTCATGAACTTGATGACGTCACAATGCTATGACATCGCTGCACTGCAAATCTAATGGCAGTAAAGAGTGATTTTTGATGATAAATAGAATCTCACCCTCGTGTCTTCTGATATCAAATATATCAACACTCGTTGATAAAGTAAAAATATCCTCGGCAAGCCTCGGATATTTGTTACTTTATCAACTCGTGGTGGTATATTTGATATCAAAAGACACTCGGGTGAGATTCTCTATATAGTCATGCCAACCAGGTTACGTGTCTATAACACGTGGAGTAGCAAGGTTCCATTCCAAATAGAATAGTCTGTTTCACACGCACTGAGTCCAGGAGCTGCAATACAAAAGAACTGGATGGAGCAAGTCTGGATTTTCCTCAGGTTTCAAATCAGCCTGGTTTCCGGGGGATCTGCTTCCCGATGCGCTTCGACGTGAGAGCAGGCCCCGGGAACCAGGCTGTAGAGTTTTGTTGTCGAAGCGTCACCATGAGAACCAGACTTGTTCCAAATCTCCCATTAACCGTTTCCACTATATTATAGAGGCGCTGATTTAGGGCAATTCCCGGGACAGGTTCTTGCTTTTATCATTTTGTTCTTTTTCGTAGGTACCGAGATGATATCCCAGAATAACTGACTGGTTACCGACCTCTGCTGCGTCACACGTAATGGACAATAGATAGTTTAAGAGCGTATCCTCACCTTGATCCACTTGTAAAGATGATGTACAATTTCGTCTTGGGATTTATTGGGGGAATCTAACCATATATGTGACCCCTCAATATTTCAGTTAATTTACAAACTGGCTGTGAAATATGACCAGCTAGTTTATCACGATGTAACAGTTCCAAGCAATTTGAAGTTTATAGCCCCGTCACACTTGAGGCGGAATGAGCCGGAATGCTGTCGGAATGAACATTTCTGGAGATTCCTGGAAATTCGAAACTGAATTCTAAAACTTCTTACTGTATTCCGAATGCATTCCAACTATTCGGGTCAATTCTTGTAAGATGCCCGAATGTTTTGAACATGTTCAAAAACGTTCTAGGTACATTCGAAGTTGAAAAATATCGAACGGCATTTGAGGTTCATTCTAACTGCATTCTAAGTATACTTACTGCATTCTAACTGCATTCTAAGTATTCTTACTACATTCTAACTGTATTCTAAGTACTCTGAACATATTCGAGGGAGAATACCAAAGACAAGCCACTTCAATCCTGTCAGATTGTCTCGAATGCGCCTGGAGGCTCGAATGACTCGGAATATATCTCGATTGTTGCTTGACTATAGGTGGGATATTCTTCAAATGTATCGGAATATTTCGACTGAAGTTCGAATACAGCTCGAATGTACCTCGAATACACCTGGAATACATTCAGAACGTCCCGAATGCTCTTCCAATGAACCCCGTGAAGGTCCGGGTTAAAATTGATCTTCAGAAACCTATGCTTGTCGACTAACGGGATCGGGTGGTCAGGCTTGGTTGACATATGTCATCGGTTCCCAATTGCGCAGATCGATGCTCATGCTGTTGATCACTGGATTGTCTGGTCCAGACTCGATTATTTACAGACCGCCGCCATATAGCTGGAATATTGCTGAGTGCGGTGTAAAACTAAACTCGCTCACTCACTCACTCTTCAAATGAACCCTGACGTCATCAGAACACCGCCGAAACGCATAAAAATGTAACCATCTGTCACTGAAACGTCACTTAGCATCTGGGAGTCATATTCTTACAAAGCTTGCAAAACTTGTTTATTTTGACATTCTCTCCAGAATGCAGTTCGAATTTTGGAAATATTTTTTTTCTGGCTGATTTTCCTTGATTCCTGTCAATTCGAAATAAGTGTGAAGGAACCTAAAAAAGTTGAGATTGACAGAAAACAGAAGTCAGTGACAAAAATGTTGAGATTGACAGAAAACCGACGTCAGTGTAACGTATTTATATACTCATGCCAATAATGGTTGTCATCCCCTTCAATTATATCAACAGGCTGGGGTTGGGGGGACAACCATCATTGGCATGAGTATATTTTTGCAAACAATCTCAGCATATTTTCACTAATATTTTGTTTTTATGATCATATAATTTGTTTAGTCAATCTGTTTTTCTGTAAAATGACTTGAACATTTGGCATTAACTGTCTAAGTGAATCATATTATACACATAAAAGCCTATAAAGAATCGAAACGGCTTGTGAAAACAACGACTTAACGTCGAAGAACCTCCTAACTATAACATTAATGAAGTGGTTAAAGCGTTGGCTCGTCACGCCGAAGACCCGGGTTCGATTCCCCACATGGGTACAATGTGTGAAGCCCATTTCTGGTGTCCTCCGCCGTGATATTGCTGGAATATTGCTAAAAGCGGCGTAAAATCAGACAGAGACAGAGTTTATTTCCAGTAAAAGGCCGTAGGCCCAAAATACATTCAAAAGGAAATTCCAGTGTAGCCAGGGGCACAATGATCATTCAGGTGTATTTGTTATAAACCTTTTAACATAAAATAGATACAAGGCAACAGATTTTACAGTGTCTACATTAGTATTCTTGAAAAGATTTGCTAAAGAATATACAGTATAAGGCTTTTTAACACATTTTGTAATAAACCTCTCTCTTAGTTGTGAATAGGATTCACAAATGAACAGTACATGAAATTCATCTTCAGTATAGGTAAGACCTTTAGATTTACATGATGTACAAAATCTTTGATTATAATCAGTGTTGTTATAACGCCCAGTTTCTACAGCTATTTTAAAATTACTACACCTAAATTGTATTAAAACAGCTCTTAAATGTGTAGAAAGGTTAAACGATAAATAACGTTGAACATTTAACGCAGATTTAAAATACTGATAATAGTTGCATTTGGAGGAATTACTCAGGGAAGAGTAACAGGACTGTTTTAAATTATCTGATAATCTTTGTTTAAATAAGCTTATAAACATCTTGGCTCAACCAAACATATCCAAAACCAAAAATAAAAAGAAGACTTTTAACTTTTGATGCCCATGTTCTACCACTATCATCTAATGACTTAAGCATAAGGTAGCTTTGAAACCGTAATCTGTCATGAGGAAGTTGTAACAATCTACACCAGTATTTGATTACACGGGTCATATAATTAAACTGCAGGGGCAATCTGCCACATTCACCCAGGGCCATGGAATTACAAGATGACCTATTTATTTTAAGATACTTTTTACAAAAATCAAGCTGTACCGATTCAATACTTTTACAATAAGAAGTTCCCCATATTTCTGAGCCATAGCATAATATTGGTGTGATCAGTGCATCAAAATTTTTGAATAAATCTGTACAGTTAATGTTTCCGAATTTCTTTTGAAAGTGATTAACTGACAAAATTGCCTTTCTAGCCTGAGATGCTAAACACAGTTGTGCCCTGGACCAAACAAGTTTTGTTGTAAATATAATGCCAAGATATTTATAAAAAGATACTGTTTCTATTTGTTCCCCATTAAAATACCATTTTTCATAAGATCTAAGAGGCCCTCCATTTCTGAAAACAACCACTTTTGTTTTCTTAAGGTTTACTTTCATTCCTGTTTCCTTGGGAAATAATTCAAGGGCATTTATCTTCTCTGCAATTGAATACTATTGTTACCCGGCTCGTTATGGGATAACAAGTTTAAATCCTTAAAATAGAATGTAGAATTCCTTAAGTCAATGATCAGTCAAGGAGATGTTTCATCATTTATTGTGAGGTCAAGTGTGTTATTCATAAATACATATGCATAAAAGATATTCGAACAATAATCGAATATACACATTTTGATGGGGAATTAGCATCTCAAACGGTAGAGCTTGTATGTATAACAGATATAATATTTCTTCTTTCAACCTAACATCAAATAATAATCATATTCGGGAATCATTCATACAAATCATTTTAACACAAATCACAATTATACCTCAGCTGTCGTCATATAAAACATATATAAATGATATTTGCCACTGAACCAAATATTTACATTTGTTCACTATCAGCATATTTAGTGATGTAAAGTACATCTAATGTGTCCATACATGAGGTGCAATATAGGCACAACTAATCCATGACAACACATCTAGTTCACTTACATAGTCAATTAACGACTGAGATATATGCATGTCAATGTCCATGCAAAATATAAACATACACATGATATTGCCACTATAAACATATACATAAAAATATATTCCAGTCATGACATTATCTGACAGAATTCGTAGAGTTGTACCAAAGAACTTACCTTAAAATAGAATGTAGAATTCCTTAAGTCAATGATCAGTCAAGGAGATGTTTCATCATTTATTGTGAGGTCAAGTGTGCCGATCGGAAATCACTGACCTCTTTTTATAGCCGAAAACATCACTGATCAATGTTGGAATTCTTTGCGATTGGCCAAAACATATAATACGGTAATTACGATTTTGGTTGGTTGACATAGATCAAACAGTTACTGATTGGACAAGCCGAAACGAGTTTTGGAGGGGGTAGTCACGTGACCGTGACAGGATAATTGCATCAGCTTAATTACGGTTTGTTTTACAACCCTTGTCTGGATTAGTTTTTTACAGCTGACGTCACATGACCGTGTCACAATGGTAATTGGCGTCAATTAGGTCAGATTTATTGTAGTTTGTTTCTACAGTTGTGGCCTGGACATCTGCACGGTGGTCATTAAGACATTTACGGGTGCAATTAACAATTGATTGAGTTTTAAGTTGACACTTTCAATGGTATATGGCTTATGTTAATTATCTTTGCGAAGTGCGTTACATCAGCAGGAGCCATGACATGAAATGACGTTTCAATATTACAACTCTTCAAAATGAAAGTGAAATTTGTGGCAAATATAAATAAAATACATACATTCAGAAAATATACAAATATGAAGAATATAATGATAAACTGTGCACTGTCACACAAGTGTCTGAAAGAGCCGAAACATCATCAGCAAACAGAAGGGCATACACATTATTGAAAACAGCAGTGATAAATATTCCCTTACCACCTTCACTTTGCATAATTGTGCATAAATGAAATCATACTCACTACAACCTAATCCCGTTAGTAAAGTCCGGCATCAGTTGTTTATTAGGCAAACAATGGTTAAATGGGGACAACGATTGGTTGATTGGTTGTTGAAGGCCGCACTGAGCAATATCCCAAATACATGGCGGCGGTCTATAAATTATCGAGTCTGGACCAGACAACCCAGTGATCAGCATCATGAGTGAGTCAGTTAAGTTTTACGCCGCTTCTAGCAATATTCCTGCAATATCACCGCGGGTGACACCAGAAATGGGTTTCACACAATGTGCCCATGTGGGGAATCGAACCCGTGTCTTCGGCGTGACGAGCGAACGCTTTAACCACTAGGCTACCCCACCGCCCATCAGCATAATGAGCATCGATCATCGATCATCGATCGATGACATGTGTCAACCAAATCAGCGAGCATGACCACCCGATCCCGTTGCGGCAGTTTACCAAGCAATTGTGCCTCCAAGTGCTGATCAAAACGCAAGTTGGCATTGTCAGATATTTCACTCTCTACCCAGTCCGTTTAGGATTTTACGACGCCTATAGCCTTTCATATATCATTGCGAAAGTGAAAACAATATTTCAAACGTTAAATCCCGCGAAAGACTGAGGAATTGTTTCTTTGTTTGTCGTGAAATGCCAGCATGTTAATATTTCATTAAATGTATATATCGGAAGTAGATCTACTCTACAATAATATATAAATGTGTCAATTCTGTACAAATATTGAAAAAAGGGGATGACATATAAATGCGTGCAAAGCATTGGGCTGGTGACCTTATTCAAAGAATAAAGGCATTTGAGGAATAAGAGACCGTTCATAAGCTATGGCTAGGGGGTGGGGGGTGGGGGTGATGATGATTTTTATGGAGAAGCATGTACAATGTGAATAGCCCCCCCTAAAATTTATGTACAAAGTAAGAAACACCCCCCTGCATGCCATGTACAATATCAATTACCCCCCTCCCCTTTTCATATTTTTAAAGCATAATTTTTTAAATATTATTATATTATATTAAATATTATTTTATGTACAAAATTGCTTTCCCAGAAACGTGTACAAAATTGATGACCCCCTACCTCCCCAGAACAAAATGGGTGGCCCCCTTAAATCATCATCACCCCACACCCACACCCCCACCCCTCCATATCGCTTAAATTATGAACGGTCCCTAAGAAATGATTTGATATCTATAAGAACTCCACAGTTTCGTTCTCATTTGAAGCAGTGTCGTAGTCAAGATATAACCGATACGACTAGCAAATGTTTTTCCCACAAGAACATGTCCCTGTTTTCGTTTATATTCAATTGATCAAAATATTTATAAAAAAACACAACTATAATAAACCTACAAATAACAACACACTCTTGAAGGGATTCATGGCCCTGTTTGAAACGATGAAAAATTATACATAATATTCTATAACTGAAAAAATTGACAAATATAATTTATTTATAGACTAGCATCACAGAGATCTAGAAAGTTAGCCTTTTTACATTTTATTTAGGACAAACTCATGCAAACACATAAGTGTGCTTACAGATTGTGTCACCACCACCACCACCATCATCATCATCATCATCATCATCATCATCATCATCATCATCATCATTTGCTGATCTTGAATGTTCAGTTTTCATCACAGGCCTTGCGATTTTTGAACTGCACCGAACTCCAAGTCCAGCTGTAACAGTTTACGCAGTTACCTCCCTTTGCTCGATTACAAACATCACCACGTGCGGTTTTCGGCAAGTAAACAAACATTGTGCATTGCATCTTGCAAACAACTGTTACCAGTGGATTCCCCAAGAGACTGACGTTGTTGGTAAGAGAAACTTTGAAACTAACCCAACGCCATGTTGTCACCTGCGTAGAGATAGCAGTACTAACCCTATCGGTTCGATAGTAGCTAGGTTTTTGATTTTTTCCCGATAGTTTGTTTTCCGAGTTTTTAGGGTTTGGACGTCCCGTCCACATTTAGCACTGTTGTTGCTGAGTTTCTTTGAAATGCACAGTTTATTTGGTCATTGCGTAAATATTTCACGAATGAGAGATTTAGTGTGTGAAGTACATTCGTTAAAATTGGAAACAAGTAACACCTGTTTAGATGTCAGAGTACCCGTGAAGATCCGGGTTAGAATTGGTCTTCAGTAACCCATGCTTGTCGTAAGAGGCGACTAACGGGATCGGGTGGTCAGGCTCGCTGACTTGGTTGACACATGTCATCGTAAACCAAGTGAGCGGATTGATGCTCATGATGTTGATCACTGGATTGTCTGGTCAATACATGATCATTTTCACACTCAGGGATAGAAATACTTGTTTTTCTAAGTGTGCCTTAGGGCACCAGACAAATATTTTAGGTGTGCCTTTCAGAAATCGAGTATGCCCACATGTTTTTAGAATAAATGACAATGATGATGATCATTAAATTAATTAATTGTTAAATAAAGAAATGGGTTTATGAGCATTCAAATATGTATGGTATTATTCAATTTGGAATAAAAATAATTGTTTTGGGGATTACATGACTAAAGGGCACCGAGAACATGTTTTATCCATGCCACTTCAATATTTACCGTGCCATGGCACACTAATATATGGGGTATTTTGAACCCTGACACTGCTGTCTTATAGCTAGAATGTTTCCGAGTGTGGCTTTAACAATAAACAACAGGTGCCTGAGAATACAAGAGTTTGGCCCAGGCAAACCAGTGGCTGAATGCATGAGCCCTTCGCTGAGAGCTGTGAGTTTTTTTCTACAGTCAAGACATGGTCGGTTGTGTCTGACCATGATCCTAAATGTATGTATCATAAAATATGTCCATAGCTAGCCTGACTAGAAGACCCAATCACTGCATGCTCTCCGCTAATTCAACCTACTGGGCCGATGGTACACTTTCACAGCTGGAGTATGGCTGACTTGGCATTAAACAAGACTCTCAGTAAGATCTGAGGTAGCTTATTTGGGACTGAATGCCAGGGGCCTAACCAGTACCTTTCCCTTCCTGAATTCAAGGCATGGTGCTACAATTCCGTGCAGAGTTGCTTCCCTTTAGCATGTCAGATACGTCACAACACGTGTTAGTGGGTTCAGTTCCTGCATAAATATGCATAGATATTATTTCTTGGTTTACAGGCACCAAACCACCTCAAATTGGGGGGCCTCAACAAGATAGTGCAAGGCGGCATTAAAACAAATGTTGACCGTAAGCCCATTTCATTTCATTTCGCCTCTTACAACAAGCATGGGTTACTGCAGATCAATTCGGGGTCTTCCCACTTACCCAACTCCTATTGTTTCAGTAGAAGAAATCACTGGGGTGTGATAATCCCCTTTAATCCCTTATTTGGTTCCCTGTGAAATACTATCCGGGGCCAAATGGGATAAACTGCTACTACGTTTGATTCAATGTTTGTCTGTATTTATTAATTATATATATATACAAGTTATCCATTTATACAACTTAATACAACATCAACATCATATCACATATTATACATCAATATTTCACAGCACACCTTTCACACTTACCAGTTAAATGTGATACTGAGTGTCTTGTACATTTCCAAGGCATGGTTCAATGCAACTCATCTTCTCTCCTAGGTGGAGGTCTGGCACCGTTTCTTAGCTGAAGAACACATGCCTCCACCCAGCCTTGTTCCTTCCTAAAAAAGCCAATGGCCTTAATGTCGGGGTGGAAAAAACAGTCCTTCGTCTGGTCTTGATACTGAGTCCTTAGTTTGGTGATCTACCTTCAGTTGTTGACAATCTGTAGCCTGTTATTATATTGTATTGTCCAAATAGTGCTATTAGTTTTAACTTTCCACACTAGATTTAATTGTAATTGTGAAAGTTGTTTTACTGTCCTTTGACACCAGGGTTATATAATAGACACATATTCCATTTCAATATCAAACATGTTCTCGTCACGATATGGCCGAAATATTGCCAATGTGACGTTAAATATTAACTCACTCACTCACTCTTGATACTGAACTTACAGCCCCTGTAGACCAAGTACTGACCGCCGTGTCCATTGGGAATGAAACAAGTGTTTACGTGAAAGTTTGCCATGGTGCAATGGAGAAACAAGGAAATCTCCATACTTTATAATACTTGTCGTTGGCATAGTTCACTTAATTAAAATTCAATTTGTAGCAAATGATATGAATATGGTTCATATAGTTTATCTTGTGAAATATGTTCACCGGTGGTGATGAGGTTGCTCTGATTGGCCCTGACTGGAGTGCTGGGTGAACTTATGTCACAACCATAGCAGGGGTACCAAATTCACCCTGCACTATCACTGACCCGTAACTGTTAATCTCTTTTAATCCCACAGCAAGTAGGGTAAGTGGGAATGAGCCATCAATTCTAACCTCAATCTTCACGGGTCAATGCACATGAAAAATGGGGGGGAGAGAAATTGTTTATTTTGGTTCCTGACTGCACCTATCAATATTTCATATTTCAAACTCTGAATTATTCACCAAGGATTAGCAAAGATTATAATCATCTCCCAAAACCTTCTAGATTGAAACATTTCAAACATAAAACCTGAATAAGTATAATTTCCAACCACAAACATATTTCAATAAAGAGCTTTATGAATAGACTAAAGAAACAGGGAAACTGTCTTTCTGTAGTGTATGATGGGAGAGGTGAAAAAAGATAATCAAATTATTCACGCTCTCACCTTTTCATTCTAAAAATAATATGTCTGTGTGTTGCCATGGGAATTAGCATGCAATGTGTTGACCACATGGTAGTGAGACCCAGTGACCGACTGGTAATTACCTTTACCTCCCTGTTGTGTGTAACTGAAGCAAGTCGCAGTTCTTTTCACCTCCTTGTTATAGGACTATAAGGATGTCCCAGATCTGATTTAAGAGTATTTACTTTTCGAATATAGGTATTTTGTTTCACTCCAGATATTTTAGTATTTCATTCCAGTACAAATTCAGGAGGGTACTGTACATCCTATTGCAGTAGGTGCACTTTAGAACATTCTTTGAGACTGACATTTCACTACAAAAGCAGTTGGGAAATTGTTCAGTGTGAATATTTTTGCATTTTAAAAAAAGTACTTAAGTTTGAAATATTTATTCATGTATGTATGGGTAGTATGTTGGTCACAGAGTGAGTGCGTTTTACGCCGCACTCAGCAATATTCCAGCTATGTTGCAGTGGCCTGTAAATTACTGAGTCTGGACCAGTCAATCCAGTGATCAACAGCATGAGCATCGATCTTCGCAATTGGGAACCGATGACATGTGTCAACCAAGTCAGCGAAACTGACCACCCGATCCCCTTAATCGCCTCTTACGACAAGCATAGTCACTTTTTAAGGCAAGCACATGGGTTGCTGAAGACCTATTCTTCCCCGGATCTTCACGGGTCGGAAAATGCGATATATTTGACCAAATCAAATGATTCGAAACCTATTTTTGCGCCCCATCAAACTGTTTACTGGCACTCACAATCTCACAGCTTAAGATGGGCGTGGCCATTTTGAATGCCAGTGCATAAAACAGGAAATCATGTTTTGGATGATAAAATTGTTTGTGGGTTAGTATATTTGTCCACTAAATGAAGCTGAATATTCATAATAGTGTTCAGGAAATCCTCAAGTTTAGAGGTTGACTTAATGTTTTCTGATTTATTCAATAATAAATTGAAATGACATTTTGTTGTTAGGTTTTATTAATTGGATTATCAAAAGAAATATGCACACTTCTTTTCACAAAGGCACACATAAGTTATCCAGCTGGTTCTCTAAGGCCCCTTTGAAAAATTGCATTTCTGTCTCTGTTGAGCTTACAAAGAGTCAAAAATATAGGATTAAAATCATTAAATATCTTGGTAATATAATCCATAATTCCTGAAGTTTCCTGTTATCCTTTTTATATGTAACCCTAGCCTGTCTCACAGTCCCTGAACCACATTATTTTCCCTACTGCCAAGTCCCTCTGCAGTGCTAAAGCCCTACATAAAGCAAGTCTAGATTCCCTCAGGTATCTGGTCTCCCTATGGCTCCTTTTCAATATAAATGGGCTTGTTTGTTACTATCAAAATTATATACTCCAGTATATTCAGAGACTTAGCCTTAGTCTAATGTAACCCTAGCTCATGGCATTTAACAACCAGACAGTAACTTTTGAATTTTTCAACATGTGCATCCAATGTGGGACTCTGGTCTCGATCCTGGTGATAATTTTGTTTTTTACTATTTTTATACCACCGCTACGAAGTAACGGGGGCATATAGCGTTCATTCTGTCCGTCCGTCCATCCCAAAACTTTGTCCGGAGCATATCTCTTAAAGTTTACATGCTAGGTTCACCAAACTTCACACACATGTTAATCATTACCCACTGATGTGCCTTTTGCTATTTTAATGTTTTTTCAGAATTTTGTTTTTTTGCTGTTTCCATGGAAACATAACTTAGTGCCAAATGTGTTTGATGGTTTTGTCCGGAGCATATCTCTTAAAGTTTACATGCTAGGATCATGCTAGGTACATGCAAAATGTGTTTGATGGTTACCTGACCACGGCATATCATCGAAACTATACATGCTAGGTTCACCAAACTTAATACACAAGTTAATCATGACCCACAGATATGCCATGTGCTAAAAAATAGCAATCTTCATCTACGTCCACTTCATTGTGTGCAAAATGAGACAGTCAAGTTCAATTGTATGTCAGGTTTCCACGGAAAACACAAAAAAATCTAGTTTCCATAAATTATTACCGTAATCAGTACATACCAAAACTATTATCTAACATGTATATAAAGTTTAGTAGAGTCAAGGAGAAAG